GAATCGAACATTAATGTGTTTGTTTCTTTCATGGTTGACTGGATTCTTCGCCGGTTCGATTGAAGATTTTTTGTCGACTTGAATTATTGTTGCATCTTCCTGTTTCAACTCCATCCTGCTCAGCAATCTTCTTAGACATATTGCATGCCATACACACCAAGATGTTGCCACATACTCTACTTCACATGTCGAAAGAGTTACTACGGGTTGCTTCCTTGACAGCCAAGTGAATGTAGTGTTTCCCATGAAGAACACATATCTTGAAGTGCTTTTTCGATCATCTATGTCACCACACCAATCGTTGTCTGAGTAGCCATCCAACTTGTATTCTTCTGCTTTTGAATAAAACATTCCAAGTGACATAGTTCCTTGGACATATTAAAGGATTCTCTTCAGAGCTTTCTAGTGTGAAAAAACTGGTTCTTCCATGAAATGACTCACAATTCCAACACTCAACGAAAGATCTGGCCTTGTGCATGTGAGGTATTGAAGACTTCCCACCAAGATTCGAAATTGGTTTGCTTCGACACGCTCTCCCCCATCAAATTTTGAAAGCTTTGCTCCTGGTTCCATTGGTGTCAAATTGGATTGCATCTTTCCATTTTAAATCTCTCCAGGATGCCTTTTACATATTTTTCTTGTGAGATAAAGATTCTTGTTTCTTCTTGTCGAACCTCCATACCAAGAAAGTATTTCATCAGGCCTAAGTCAGTCATCTTAAATTCTTGTGTCATTGTGCCTTTTAATTCTTCTATCATCTGATTGTTGTTGCCCAAGAAAATTAGGTCATCTACATAGAGAGCACCAGGCAATATTTTCTCTTTTTCCTTAGTCACATACAGGGCATGCTCGTAAGGGATATTGCTGAAATCCATTTTCTTTGAAGTATGTGTTAATTCGTGTATTCCATGCTCGTGGTGCCTGCTTCAGCCCATAAAGTGCCTTCTTTAGCTTTAGCACCTTTCTTTTATTTTCGACTTTCATGTATCCAGGTGGTTGTTCGACATAAACTTCTTCTTCAAGCACGCCATTCAAAAAGGCTGACTTGACATCCATCTGATATATTTTCCATTTTTATTGAGCAGTTTGAAATATGAGCAGTCGAATTGTCTCCATTCTTGCAACAGGTGCAAACACTTCATCATAATCGATTCCTGCTTTCTGCTTGTATCCTTTCTCCACAAGTCGCGCCTTGTATCTTTCAATTTCACCTTGTGCATTTATCTTTTTCTTGAACACCTACTTCACACCAATTGTTTGACTTCCTTTTAGTAACTCTTCTAGTTCCCAAGTATCATTGTGTTCGATGGCCTTAATTTCTTCATTCATAACATCCCTCCAATTTTTTTTTCTTACTGCTTCATAGAAACTGACATCTCCAGTGTCTACCAACAAATATATGAGATGCACTTCTTCTGTGTTTTCATACAAGTCTTATAAACTTCGCAACCTGGGTTGTGAGTGTCCATCTTCATCATCAAGTCTTATGGTTTTGTCGAAGTGTTTTTCGATACAGCACCTGGTAATTCAACCATAACTTCAGTCGAGTTGTTCCAGCCCCACTTGCTTTCTTCGTTTACTCGAACATCTCTACTCAGTATCACCTTTTTGTTTATTGGGTTGAAAAGTCTGTAACCTTTCATTTTCTCATCATACCCAATGAGTATGTATTTCTGACTCTTATCTTCCAGCTTTGTTCTTCTTTGATCAGGTACATGTGCATAAGCCACACTTCCAAACACTTTGAAGTGAGACACTGTTGGCTTTTGTCTGCTCCAAGCTTCTTGAGGTGTTAAATCTCCCAACTTCGAATGTGGACATCTATTCTGAACGTAGATTGCACATTGTACAGCTTCTGCCCAAAATTCCTTCGATGTGTTCTTGCTTTTAACCATTAATCAAACCATGTCGAGGACTGTTCGATTCTTTCTTTCTGCCACACCAATTTGTTGAGGTGAGTATGCTGTAGTCATAAATCTCCTTATGCCTTGCTCTTCACAGTACTTCATAAAGGCTGTCGAAGTATACTCCCCACCTCTGTCTGATCGAAGAGCTTCGATGTTCCTATTTGTTGCTTTCTCCACCATTACCTTAAACTTCTTGAATACTTCGAAGGCTTCTAACTTTTCTTTCAGAAAATACACCCAAGTTTTTCTTGAGAAATCATCAATTAAGGATATAAAGTACCTTTTGCCACTAAAGAATTATGGGGTAATTGGTCCACATATGTCAGTGTGAATCAATTCCAGAATTTGTTTAGCCTGATATTTTGCCTTCCTTTGAAATGAGGTTCTCGTCTGTTTACCAAATACACATTCTTCACAGAACTTTCCTTCGAATCCTACGTCTGACAGTCCATGCACCATATTTTTCTTTGCTAACCTCCTTAGTGCAGCCTGATGTAGATGATCAAAACGTAGATGCCACAAGGATGCTTGGTCTTCGACATTGGCTTGCAAACACTTTTCTCAAATGCTTCTCAAATTCAACTTGTGCATTCGATTTCTCCCCATTTCAACTTGAGCAACCAGACGTCCTGACTTGTCTTTTAAGTGCAAGCTTCGATCTTCCATGAGTATCAAATAGCCCTTTTCTGTGAGTTGTCCCAGACTCAAAATATTTTCTTTGAGGTTTGGTACATAGTACACATCTTGGATTGATCCTATCAAATCATCCTTCTGCAAGAAACTGATTGTTCCTTTTCCTTCGATCCTTACTTTCGACGCATCTCCAAAGGAAACATGACCATCCTCAATTTTCTTTATTTCTTTGAACAAGTGCTTATGACCACATATATGGTTACTTGCTCCTGAGTCCAGGTACCACATAATGTCATTTTCTGCATATGCTTCCTTTTGAGTCATTAACAGAAATCCTTCATTCGATTTTGTTTCTAGGGCAAGATTTGATGTTTCTTATATCTTTCTTCTGAGTCGATAATATTTTGCAAGATGTCCCACTTTACCACAGTTGTAGCAACTGTAGGAGTTAGAATCTTTCGCATAGTGCCCATGTTTGTTACATTTGTAACATTCGATATTGTTGTAATTCGATCTACCACCTTTCTGGCCACGTCCTCTGCAACGTCAACTTTGTTGGCTTGACTGTCCTCTATCGAAGTTGTTATTTTGGTAACTTCGACCAACATTACGTCCTCCAAGACCATGTCCTCTCTCCCACGCTAATTTTGAGAGAAAAGTGTCTTTTCATCTCTGTTGGGTTCTGCATCCTCAAGTGTCTCCTCCTTCTTCTTTATTTTGCGTTATTCATGTGCCTCAAGTGAACCAGCGACTTCTTCGACAGTGATTGTCGAAAGATCCTTCGCCTCTTCTATTGCACATACTATATATTTGAACTTGTTTGTCAAAGATCTCATAATCTTTTTGACAATACAAGCATCAGTCATTGCTTCTCCATTTCGATTGAGTTGGTTTTCCACCGTCTGCACAAGAGTGATGTAGTCTGACACAGACTCTGTCTCCTTCGTCTTTATTCTCTCCATTTCTCCTCGAAGAGTCTGCAAGCGAACTTGCTTGACTCTATCTGCTCCTTTGAAATCCTTTTCTAGCGTGTCCCACGTTTCCTTCGACGTAGTCGAACTAACAATCTTTTCGAAAACTGATTCGTCGACTGCTCTGAACAGCATGTACAATGTTGTTTTATCCTTTGCTTGTGTTTCTTTCAACGCCTTGTTCTGAGCAGCTGTGTTTGTCGTTGTATTTGATGGTTCTTCAAACCCATTGTTAGTTACTTCTCATACATCTAACGATCCCAAAAGCGCCTTCATCTGGATACTTCAGTTTTCATAAATCGACTTTGATAGTCGTGGCAGTGGCATTTGACCCATCATATTTGTCATGCGGTCTGATACCAATTTGAAGAGAAAATGAAGAGAACAAAATGAGAGTGGACTTAAATTTGCTTTCTTTATAAAAGGTTCAACTGACTTTTAATATGAATACAAAGTGATTTATATAGAGATCACAAGATAGAATATTAAATGTTACAACATTAACTAATACTAGGTCTCTAAGAAATAAACTTTCCACTATCCAAAAAGAATCTGTTTTTTGCACTACCCAATGCAGATTTGAATTTAACCAACAAAGTTATCTTCATGTACAATGAGCTCTGCAACATGCCTACTCTTATTTGATTGATGATGACTGTTATGTCTTGTTTTTTTTTTTTTAAGAGTGTGTAGTGGTTTTTCATGAAAGAAATTTTTTAGAGTCATATCATATACTTTTTCTTAGTTTAAAGAGAGAGACCAATCCATGTAATCAAAGTTCTACTTTTTTTTTATTTATCTTATTGTGTGGTGTATTCCGGTTGGTTGTTGATTCTATGAATACTAATAAAACATATAACTATGATATATTTGGATTGTTGGTTGATTGCTTGAAACTTGAAAGTGTTTGATTTTTTGGTTGGTTAGAGGTGTGTTTTGGTATATGAACATTTAATATGCCTATTAAACTTTACCTTTTAGGTTAGCCATGAACTATTTCTTGATGTTGTATGCTATGCCTTTTTGAATCTGAACTCTTGAATCACTTATTTGGGCAGATAGGCTATTAAGAGTGCAGTGTACAAAGTTTTTCTGCTATGTATGACATGCGCACAATACCGTTGTAGGATGCCACGTTCTGATTTGTTCAAAACTGTATTGGATGTGCTGTCAATTGATAGTAGAGGCCATCTAATTTTTTTAAGGCCTTAAGAAGGGATTTGTTCATTTTATGGTTGGTACACTCTTTCATAACCCTGTGTCCATGTCCACATGTGTTGGATGAATGAAAAGTGTTGGTTTGCATCTGCTAGCTTATAAAATTAAACCGAAAAATATAACAGAATTCAAGTGATGGAGGTGGGATTGATAATTAAGCCTTAAAACTGAAATGGATATAGTGAACTGCTAGAGCCTAATACATCATAGTTAAGCATTTAAAGCTTAATTATAATCAATGCCGAAATCCTTCATACTTTTCGCTTGATTTTCATGGCCTTGAAAGGCCTTTTAAGCTAGGAGATCCCTTGCACGGTGAATAACAATCATAGTTCATATCCCAATTCCCTCCTATCCTTGTTTTTGGGGTACTTGTTGATCTTACTTTTGCCTGTGTTGATTTTGTTGCAGCCATATATGTTGGAATCGCAGGAGATCTTGGAAATGAGTAATCTTCTCTCTCTGTACTTTGACTCCTTTGAGGGTAAGAGTTTCTGGAAGAAAGTATTGGTGAATCTAATCCTTCATCTTCATTTTCTTTCTGAATATGTCTAAGCTTTAGTTGTCTTCTTCCACAATCTTCTACTGCTCTAGAATGTGAGCTGAAAAGTGAGTCTAAATCTTCAAGTTCTTTACTCTTAGAATGCTGTGTGTCTACCCCCTGCTCCATCCAATACCTCCATCTTCCATTTCTTTCTGATTCAGCCGATTTCTAAAAGGATTTTGTTAGTTAGTATGAGATCCTTATTGAGTGAAAATTACAAAGAGTAAAACTAGGCTTAAGAGCTTCTTACCCTATGGTTATATGACCATTCTTTTACTCTTTCTTTCCTAATAGCAGCTTCTTTCTTGCTTATGCTAGAGGAATCTACCTCTTTCTTCATTAAAATGCTGTGATCCCACTTTCTCTCACTGTTTGAGTCCATCTGAAAAATATGAAAGAAACAAAAAGTTGATCAACTTTGTTATTGCAATGTGATGAGAAGTTAGAACTAATGTTCATCTGCAAATTGTTATTCTCACCCTTATGATCTTATCTTCATATTCACCACAATCCCATCTTCCTTCAACGTTCTGGAGTTTCCTTGCAATGACCTGTGACTGGATACTCACAATGGATTGCAAGCACTTCAGAGTACTCATAGCTTGCCGTCTTACAGCTCTTCCACGAATGATAGCTTGAAGCATCACAATTCCCTTCAATGCCCTCAAAGCTTTCCTTGCCTGCAATATGTCACAAATAAGCGATAACTTAGGAGAAGATGAAGAAAATTGGGGGGAAAGGGTTTGAGCAAAAACAAAACGAAAAGTGAAATCTTGTACAAAACTCACAAGGTAACCTCTAAATGTTGTTTGAATTTTGAGGGCTGCAGATTCTTCAATCTTCTTCTTGCATTTGTGTGTGGATATAGAAGCATCATGATTAACTTCTCTTAGTTTACCTTTACATTGATGAACAGATTGGAACTTAACAACCTCAACTGCAACCTGAGCAGCATTTAGAGCAGCTTCAGCTGAAGCAATAGCTACTGTTAAAGCATGCCTGTTGTGTTCTTCTTCTGCTTCACTCAACCGTGTTTCTCTTAATGGCGGCAGTGCTTCAATTAAAGGAAATCTCTTGTTCTTTAGCCTCCCAAATATCCATTTTCTTCTTTTCTCCTTCTGAAAATAGGTAATTGTCTCAAAATAGTGCATGTTTAGAATCAGAGTGAATTAAACGAAACTAAGGGGACGCTGATTTTGTGAAAGCTTTTAATTATAGCTTTTGACAAACAAGCAGTTAGTGAAAGAAGCAGAACACTTACCTTCTCTTGAGTGGAATGTGTGAAGATTCTCTCTACCATGCTAAACCAACCCTTCTTGGCCATTTCACAATGTCACAGTTTCTGTAATCTGAATTTGTTTTCAATAGAATCCTATCTTATGCAACTTATATTTTGGTTTTCAAATCCACATATAAATGATTTTAAGTGATGGTTTGGTGCAAACTTAAACATTAGACTTGTCTGAAAAAAGAGAAACAGTTTGCAGAACTTGTAATAGGCACAAGTAGTCCTTGCAAAGACCAATAACATGCATGTTCTCAGACTTTAGTCTTTACAGCACTTTAAATATCACTGCACACAAACCAAGATAGTTAGTTGAAGGAAAAAAATGCATGTGATGTAGATTGAGTGAGATCCAACATCCTAGTTGAGTACTCCATCTGTTCCACAATAAATGATCCATTTAAAATAATAGTGTCTGAATGATCTATTTCAAGTTCCAATACACTTTTGCAATTCTACTAGCTAATTAATAAAAATTTCACCATTCTCAGTATTATAGTAAAAACATTATTCTCTCTATTATTTTTCTTAATATGTATAAAAGAGTAGGCTGAATCACTTATTATAAAATATGGAAATTATGAAATTTCCAAAAATGCTTTGAAAAAAGCATACCGATGGTGTCAGTAAAATCAAATGGGGTAGCTTTGAAATCATCAAACATTCTTTAATACGGTATCTCATACCCAAGAATGTGGAACTTTAGTACTTCTTCTGTTTTATAATAAGTGTCTCATTTATATTTTTTTTATGTCTCAAAATAAATATCTTTCAAAATATCAATATAATATTTACTATTTTTTCAATTACTATACATTTATTTATTATCTTTCACGTTTTTCAACTACTCTATTAACCATAATAAATAAGGGTGTTTTAGTAAATGATATTAATTTTATCATTAAAATCAACACATCTAATCATTTTCTTAAAAACTATACAAAACTCAAATAAAACAATTATTATAAAATGAATGGAATAATAGTTTTTAGTTACAATGTGCACATATACCAACATATAATTTATTATGATGAGCATGGTTGACTTAAATATGCAGAAGCTTTGTGTATGTAAGTAGATGATAGTTTAAATGTGACAAAATAAATAATGATTCTATTTTAATACTTGTTTCGAATACATTTATAAATAATAATTTTTTATTATAGATTTATTAATTAATTGATATATCTAATATAAAATAATAATTAAATACATCTTTTATTTAATAAATATAAAAAACTTTTTATTACTTATAAATGTGTTTAAAAAATATAAAGTTTAACTATCACAAATATTTTGAAGTCCTGCTTAATTATATATTAACCGTATCAAATTTTAAATCTCTTACAATAGATTACCTTATAGTTTTTAAAAACGTCTTGATGATAAGGTTTATCTTTTCAAAGTGTGGGCCTTTGGGAACATGTATTCTGCATTCCACATGAAAGAAAGAGAGCAACTTTGTTTCACTTTAAAATACATTGAATAATTGTTGAGCTTTCATTGATCCGACCCTCGTTTCTAAGTGATTCATAAAAGACTATAATTAAGAAAACTCATTTATTAGAAAAATATTCTCTAAACTTTGTTTGACTGTTTTTTTGTGTGAATTAAAATACGGTGTCATCGTACTTGTGTCTACTGTGTGATTTAACTAATATCAGAAAATAAAGATAAACTACATTTTAAATGAGATTAAGATAATAGACTCACCGTATAAAATAATTTTATAATATTATTTAATAAAAAGTTATTAATCAGTTATGTTACACAAATCTTTTTTAAATAATAGTATGACTTGATATAATATATGATCGTGATTGTTTGACCGTGTAAAATTATTTTATATTATCAATACATATCATTTTTTCTTTTTTAAAGTACAAGAAATAAAATCGATAATATTCTATTAAAATTGTTTTTTTTTTTTATGTATATTTATGTGAAACATATTATTAAATTAGAGAAAAACAATTATTTATGTCTGAGTTTTTTAGATGATTAGTTTTGTGCAAATATTGCATCCAAGTTGCTTTATTCTTTTTTTAAAAATAAAAATAACCTCACTCTTTTTATTTTTTTTTAGTATGACTTCGTCTATTGATATCACATTTATTCTAAATATGAATTTTTATTTTATCAAATTGACACTTAAATTAAAGTTTATTAAGATAGACTTTACAAACAAATATATACTCCAATTATTATAGACAATTATAACTAATTTTTGTTATTACAGTTGATTGGTTAATTTTTATAGGCAATTTATTAAATAAAATGATTTGGCATAGTGCATTAGAAAAGACTCAGTTAAGGTATTAATGATGATTAAATTTTCTTCAATTTTTAAAATTGTGCTTTTTCGACTGAGTCTCGTGTGTTATTTAAAGAGATGATTTTCTTTATTTGAAAACTCACGGTTTTGAAGATTTTAGTTGTTATGTTGTATTTTAGTGAGTTTGTGTTTTGTTTGAAATACTTTATTCTCAAGAACTCTTATTTTAGGAAGATAAAGTATACTTTATTCTCAATAACACTTATTTTAAGAAGATGGAGTATTTGGTCTCTATTGGTGATTTTTGTATCAGTGTTCTTGTGATTGTTTTGTACAAACATTTAGGAAAATGTTTGAGTGAAAGTGGAGAGATTTTAGATTTAGGAGGGGTCTGAGTTGAAACTCATAAGTAATATTAATATAAAAACATTGAATTTGGAGAGTTTAACGGAGATTGTCGTGTATTATTGACTAATTAATTTAATGATTTTTCTTTTCTTGTACTACAACCTTCAAAGCGTAAATAACTTTATATCAAAACCTTATATCAAACTGAGTTAAAAATTATTTGTGTTATTTATTTTATTTGGGAAACTGTACAAATTGCTCACGAAGGTTAGGGATGCTCATACACGGTTAATTATCATATCAAATCCATAATCATATATAATTCAAACATTAAAAATCAATAGTCATAAAATAGTTATTAACCGGTTATATTCGTAATTAAATTTATAATTATTTTTTATTTTCAGAATATTTTTGTAGAAATATTATTTTCCAAAAATGAAAACAAAATCATAGTTTTTTAATTTTCAAAAATATATATTTTTTAAAATAAAAAAATTATTTTTTATTTTTTGAAAAAATTTAAAATAATTGTTTTTTATTTTTCACCAAAAGTATTTTTCTTAAATAAATTAAAAAAATAGTACTTTTTTAAAATTGTTTTTATTTTTTTTATTTTGGAAAATATATTATTTTCTAGAAATTAATTTTTTTTTCATAAACAAAAAAAAGGTTTATAAAAATTTTTTAGATAAAACTATTTTTAAAAATTTGGAAATTATTTTCATAAAAAATTTAATTTACATTTTTTTTTTGTGAAAAGTAGGCTAATTTGGTTTTTATTATGGATTTTGTTAAAATCATATTAATAATATATCCAAAATATGGATTTGGTTAAAACCATATCAATAATTAAGCGGTTTTTAAATACTAGATTTGGATATGGTTATAGATAATCTAAATAACTGGTTAATTTGAGCATCCTTAAAGAAGGTACTTCCAAATTTCGTAGTTTAAGACTTCAACTTCTTACACAAAGTATGAAAAGTTGAAGACACGTGAAGATGAAACCATCTCTGAATTCAATGTTCGCCTTCGTGACATTCCTAACAACTCTTTTGCCCTTGGTGAAAAGATGTATGAAAAAAAGTTTGTGAGAAATTTTTTAAGATCTCTACCCAAAATGTTTGATACGAAAGTTATTATCATTGAAGAAGTACAACATGTTTCAACAATGAAACTTGATAAACTAATTGACCCTCTTCTCACCTTTGAGACGACCTTTGAAGACAAGCCTGGGAAAAAGAATAAAGGTGTTGCATTTAAAGTATATAGTAAATAATGTGAAGACCAAGTTGAAAATGAGGTTAATAAAAATCTCATTGAATCCATTTCCTTGCTTGCTTAAAATTTCAGTAGGGTAATGAGAAGATTGAATAGAAGATCTAGGAATAATGTCTCTACCAATGTCAAAGATAATAAATAATAGAATTTCAAAAATGCAAACTTTCAACATCGGGGAAGAGATGGTGAAAGATAAAACTGCAACCATCCTAACAAAGATAAAGGAGTTCAATATCATGAATGCAGAGAATTTGGCCATATTCATATTGGATGTCCAAATTTCCTAAGGAAGCAGATGAAGAGTTCCAACGCCACTTTCTCTGATGATGGGAAAGATGAAGAAAGTGAATATGAATAAGCTAACAGTGTTGTGGCATTTACTACCTGTATCAAAGACACCATAAATATTGTTTTACCTGATGATGAAGATTCCATTGGTGAAGATATTAGAGTTGATGTCCTTGTTGAGTCCTACAAAATTTTGTATCTTAAATGGATTGAAGAATCTCAATTTATGGAGAATCAGAACAAAAAAAATTGAAGTCCTTCTTTAGGACAAAGCTCGAATGTTGAATCAGTTTGAAAGCTGAATTCTAGAAAAAATATTTGGTGTTGGCAAATCTTCTAAAGACACGAATGGAATTGGATACTTAGGAGAATCTTCAAATTCAAAGACTATGTATATTCCACCTATTTAGAAAACAAAATTTATGATGTCGGGTAACATGTCTCAACAATCAGTCAAACATAATTACCAACACACTAATTTTGTCTATACCAGTCTACATTGGGTTTGTCACTGTGATACGGTGGGAGAACTGACTAGAGGTTTTGCGTTTGTATTCGCAAATGTTGCGGTTAGCAAGAGTCGCCACCGACTTTTTATTTTATCCTAAGGAAAGGTTAAAAAGCACAGCAAAAACCTTTTGAGATGTTTTCTTGGGTTCGGGGAGTAGATTACAGAAAGAGAAGGTATTAGCACCCTTTCTATCCATGGTTATCCATGGGCTCTTAGTTACTTGCTTAGATCACTTGCCTTTTGTTTTCAATTGTTTTTAAATGGTGCTTGAGTGTGTGAGTTTTGAAAATGTTTTGAAAAGATACCAATGTGGTGGCAACCTTTGTAATGATC